GTGTGTGTGTGGTGTGGGTGGTGGGGGGGGGGGGCTTAGATGCTTCAAATGTGCCGAGGGCCGTGTTTGCTGCATTGTATTTAAAAATACAGCGGAATAGCCGGTATTTCCTTCATATAAGTAGGATAGACCCAACTGTAGTAGAACAAGTTTGGTAATTTTTTCGTGAGCCTTCATCTTGGAGCTCGAGTGCTCTTTTATAATTTTGATACTACAGAAAAATAGGCCGGTGTCGCAACTAAAGCAATCGGCAGTAAATCACTATCTTCTCTTCCTACATTTAAAAATAGTCCAAATTTACTCTTTTCGCGTCGTTTAAAAGCATGTGACATATTTAAATATCAGATGTGATAACATGACATATGTGAGCACGTTTCTTTGTGTAGCGCGATCACCTTTACCCTTAAGAAACAAATCAACACTGATTCACTGGATTAGCAAAATTTATTTCTACACAAACCTTACTGACCAGCAGTAGGCATCAGAAACTTTGATGTACAAACATGTAATATCCTTCTGGCACAAAAAATATACACTTCAGTGAATACCTCAGTGTTATAGTATCAGACCCAATTTGCACATAAATAATATAACAACCTCACAGTATCTGTAAGTCTAAATGGCCTTCCTGGACTTTTTTTTTTCATTTTTAAGGGGTGACAACCATAGAGAATGCTGAATAAGTATGTAAGTCCCTGAATAAGATTGTCTAGTACTACAAGACCACTGTTCCAAATTTCACCTGCTTAACCTCCTTTTACTTATTTGAATTTTTTTTTATTTTGTAAGACATTTTTTCCTAAAATGTTTTCTATCAACTACAGAGACAAGAAAGCTATCCAAATGGACATGAAAAAGAAGCATTTGTAAAGGCAATTACTTTCTCTAATTACATTTAATCTTCTCAAGAGCTGTTACTTATTTTTCAATGAAAATAATTAGACATTTAGTTGTGACAATATGTATAATTTCTCCTGAATCTATTTCTGGACTTCATGTCTGTCAGTAAAGATCAGTAAAATACTGACAGACATTGTAAGACTCAATTTTGACCACAAATGTATATGTATATACATGGCATATTTGATTATCTGACTCTTCTTCCAGAAGACAGCCGATTCTTCTTCAACTTTAAGCTCTGAATCAAAAGCAAAAAATTCAGCCAAATATGCAAAAAACTTGATGATTTACTTCATACTCTGTTGGCAGTTGATCTACGAATATTGTTCCATTTGTTGGGGTTCTTCTTAAAATACACCACTGTTCCAACAACCAAGGCCACAATAACCAAAATGGTGACCACAATTCCCACAATGAGACCAACTTGCGGAACAGTCCGTGCAACGTAGACTCCACCCTCCGCCACCTGAAACTGAGCAATCCCATCATTCACCTCTGCATCCACTTTCGTCCATGTTGCAAAATTTGAGCTGCTTGTGCGATAAATGCCAATCTCTGAAGACCCTGGGTCAATTTTCATCTGCAAGGTGACTTTTTTCCCTTCATCTGAGAATTTTTCTTCAGGGTGAACAACAATGTAGCTGCTTGCATATCCCTCACCAACCTAGAGGACAATTAGGCATTTGAATTAAATCTAGATTCAAAATGGTGAATAGGTAAATTGATTATTTAGTAATCATGTTGGTTTTGCGATGGTGGAGAAGAGTATAACTTCCCAAAAGATTCAAATTAGAAGAAGAGACAAGATGAAACCTTAAGCTGCCAAGTGCCACATTGGTGAACTATTTGTTTTGGTAAAAACTCCATTTTTACCTTTTAACTCAGAGCTGCACATAAAATGTAACAAAAAAGTCCGTATCATGTTTTTTTTTCATTAAAAGACATACAAATTAAGACATGTCTCTGTGATAAAATTGGTACATGAACTTACAGTAACTTTCTGATTTGCTGCTTGAACTTTCTGCTCTCCTTCCTCTGCTTTCCATTCTTCAACTGACAGCTTCACCAATTTACTGAATGTTCCCTGGGACACTATCACTGCTGCTTTCCTAAAATAACAGAAACATATATAAAAACAATAATTTATAAAATTAGCAACAGTAAGTACTAAATAATAAATATGCAGCATGTGCATACTCGAACAATTTAAGATTTCTTTTCAGTTATGGGCAATGGTATATTTGAACAAATTGTTTAAAAAATTAATTATTTTAATTTCAGTTGCCTATTTGTTTCACTATCTGGTGCTGGTGCACATTTTTGGAAAATATTATATCTCAAATCACTCTCTTACTCAGTGAAAAGAAAGCATCACTGTGAAGTAATTGGTAAATAAACTGAATTTTGTCCATACCCGTCTCCTAGGGTAACATTGCCTCCATTCCAACCAATGGCCTTCACCTTCGATGCACCTTCAGAGCAGACGATCTTTCCCTTCTGGCTCCTATTGGAGAAGTTGTTGTTACGTGTGCACATGTAATGATATGTGCCAGTCCTTGTGATCTTACGTGGACCAAGGTCAAAGTAGGTTCCAGCATCATCTAATTCAGACATTTCTCCTCTAAACTGATCTAAAAAAAATTAAAAAAAAAAAAAAAAAAATAATAATAATAAGAGACAGATACATTAGATTACATGAAATATCTTATTTCATTAAACATAATTGTAACCCATAAAGCAGTCTGATCCAGTAAAAAATATAATATATTAGACACTTTATTCAAGGATTTTCATTAGAATATTTTGATGAAACAAATTTGTTAATTTATAGATTAATTGCAAATAAATACAATTAGTTTACATAAAGCTGCACTTTTATGGATGCATCCTCAAAACTCTTAATTCCTTATTTACAAAATACAGAAACTATAAATATAATTTGTAGCATAGCAATTGTCACACAAACACATATACACACACACAGTCTAAAAGCTAGAATAATACTAAGAGATGAACATGGGCTGAGGCTGACACAAAGGGTGCAGTGCAGTTATAATCCAAATGTGTATAAGAATAAAAGACCATTAGTATGTATTATGAAAGTAAAATCAATGAATAGAGTACATACTAATGACTAAACTAAACCAAATTAAACCAGTCAAAAACTTACTTGGCATCAGCAAAGCCAGTCTCTGCAGGTCCTGTTTTGGCAGTCCCAGGAAGGTGACATTGTTAATATGCTGTGGGTAGCTCCTTCCCCAGTGTCCAAACTTCTGGCCACTGGTCAGTCCGCTGCCCTCTGGATACAGCTGGGCGTCCTGTAGGACCACATTGGACCGGTCAGTCCCTGCCTGGCCCTGGCCGTCATTGTTGTTGGGGTTGGTGTTGGACCCTGTCCACCTAGAAATCAGAAAAATATCAGAAATAGTATTTTTCCATTATAAATATTTACAGTTATTCTGTATTCAAACTTCTTAAAATTCTACTTTCCAATGGTTAAAATGTGATTGTTTATAGAAGGTCCTGTATTTGTTATCCCAGGATGTAGGGATATCTTCAAAAATTAGAAAAAAAGCTATTACAATGCAATTTTAATTACTTGTAGTGCAACTAAGCCAATAATTCATCTTCTTACAATACAAAAAACAATAAGTTAAACATTTCATGACTTACTGAAAATGGACATAATCTCCATTAGCTGCATGAAGAGTGTTGGGTACAAAGTCATATTCCACAGCCGGGTACACTTGTACTATGTTGCCACGTTTCCCTCTCACATTCAAGTTATGGATTGTCACTCCCACCAGATCTGAAGTCCTTGGTTCTATGGCAAATGTGTGGGACCTAGACAGGAAATCCAATATTAAGTTTAATTTATTAGAACAAGTTTAATAGGTGGTCAGTAAATATCATAATGATAGTTTTGCGTAGGGATTTTATTGGTGACTCTGAAGGTCATTGCGAGAATGACAAAGATGTCCCCAATGAGGACAAGAAAGCTGGACATGAGGAATAGCCATTTTTGCTGCTCTCTCTCCATAGGTGATTAAATGTAGAGTACTTGGTTTGACCTAACTACAACAAATACTTGACATTGCCAGCAATGACAACAATGAAGTCTATAAATAAGTTTGCATAATGATCACAGTATGTTTTTATACCACTCCAATCAAAATAAAAAATATGAGGCAATAACAACACCACTGCTCAATTTAAACACAAAAATTTGCATTTACCTATCCTGAAAAGTCCTTCCGTACTGTGCAGTGTTGATGGCCAACCTCAGGTCAACATCAACATCATCAAATATTTTCACCACCGGGTTGTTCTCCAGTACAAATCCTTTGGCTTTGGCTTCCTCCATTGATGCAAAACCAACTTGCTCTGAGAGATCAATTCCAGAGCCCTGATTCCTCCGTTTTTCATTGGCTGATGAGTTGGTGTTCCAGGCATCGTAGTCATTGGTGGAGATATTGTACCTATATAAGTGTGAAAAGAAAATTATAGCATGAAAGTTCAAAAAGAATTTGAATCAGACTGTTGCATAAAATTTTGGAGAGTTTGACTTCTTCGGGTTCTAATTACAGCAGTATTAAAAGTATATCAAGTTTGCTGAATAGGTGATAATCAAAGAACCATCTTGCATGGAATCAATAATCATTGCATGACCTCTTTAACTTAAAAAAATTTCCAAAACATCTTGTCTTATCTATTAGTATGTCATCCTAGTATCATATCTCACCTAATCCTTAATACACAAGTATCATGGTTGATCTCAGGGATTGTCCAATTGTACAGATTTGGGTATCCACCGAGACCGTTTCCAAGATGGTTGTCCCTTGACCACTCTGTCTCCCTGCACTCTGGTGGCGCCACCCCATGGGCAGGAAATTCAGTCCATACTCCTCTGGTGCCGTTGGGGTTGTTTGGTGGCCAAACAAATGCCTGGGTAATAAGATTTAAAGTTTAAACAAATACAGCTATCTATTTTTGTCAGAAAATTTTGTTTTCTCTGAAATAATCTTACTAGTACTTAAAACTAGAAACAAAGTTAATACACAATGACTCTAATGAACCTCATTATAAAAAGGTTCAAACTATTACTTGCGATATTGAAGTCCCAAAAATTCAACATTTACAAGACAACATTTCAGTTCTCAAGAGTGAAATTGTATGACCAAATATAACTGTCCTCTTGATATTTCCACAACATAGACATTTATTTACCTCACAATCCTCCTTGTTGTTAGGTACAACTATTCCCCTGCGATAATTCATCACCAGGACACTCCTAGGTAGCACACAGGCCCATCTTGACTTCACATTGGCACTTTCTTCTTGATAGTAGGGACATCTGGTGGCATTGTTGGTCATCACTGCTACATCCTGAAGATCATCAGCATAAATGTCAGTTTCATTTTTGTAAGTAATGTGCAAGGATTTGTTCAATTTAAAAATATTCTGACTTACAAATAATATAGAAAAGTATGTTCTTCAATGCTTTCTTTGAGTTAAAAATAAAACAGCATCACAAATCAAAATCTGATAAAGCATTTTATTTTATTTAATATCCCCAATCAAAATATCTAAAATAAGTTTTCAGTATATTATACCACAGCTGGGTTATTATAAGGTGAGTTACCAAATGTTAAGTACATTGTATCTATTAAAAATGCCATGATTGTTTAGCAATAAAAACTATTGTGAAAATCTAATCTTACCACCCAAGGTGAGGGGTGCCAGTAGGGGTAGTAATCTCTCTCCTCTGGGCACTCATACCCCCTCCTGGTGCCCCCGGGGTTCTGGCGGGTGTAAATTGCAGTGTGACCCTTGGGTTTCTGAGATGGATAATGAGGCAGAAAATTATATGAGATACAGAAGCTGTTGCAAATGTCAATTTATATTTTAACAGATCATATCACTTGTAACAGTTTTATACCAATTGGTATGTACACAAGTATTTAAATATTTTACCAAGTATCTTTTCTTCCTAAAATAAATGCTACTAATTAAGAAAAATTTGGAATGAGGAAAACTCAAATTTTTGTTTGACAAAAGATTTAGCACCAAAACTTGACCATGGCTTTTTACTTAGCAAGAAAAAATTATTGATTCAGAGATAATCATTACTGCAACATGGTGATGCAAGGCAATGGACTGATCAGAAATAAACTTTGAGGTGTGTACCTGGTCAGCAAGAAATAGTCCCTTGTTCCTCTCCCGGGTCCTGCAGTTCAAGTAATATTCAAAGTCCTCGTTCATGCCATACTTCGTGTCAGTATTGCAGTCATAGTTGGCACAATTCATGGGGTTGTCTGGGATTGTTCTGAATATAGAAATGGACATTGCTTTAGTTATGATCTTGGTGAGATTTTGTCTCAACAACCACAATCCATTTGTTGTTGCTATTAAGTTACAGGAAAGATTTTTTGACTGGTTTTACAGATGGATTTTCAGCAGTTTCTATAAAGCATCTCTTTATATAGGTTTTATACATCAAGTTCTTTAACAAAAATGCATTTAGATTTAGTAAACCTTGATAAAACTGTCATGAGTGACATAATATTATTTTCAAAAACATGGACTCACGAAGTAGTCGCACCATCCCTCATTTTCTCATCACACATGTACTGAATGATCAGTTCACAGTGGTTGTTAGGGTTACCACAGGAATGCTGGTTGGTCCTAAAACAAAGATGAAGGGTGCCTTTAATAGTTTTTTTACACAGACACACAACTGGAAATGTTAATACACTTAAAAGTGTTTAGAATACCTTAATTAGATGACAAAAATCACCTGCAATGGGCAAATATTGCCTGTTATCAAACCTTTCTTTACTTAAAGTGATAATAACTCTTCGTTTCGGCCAAAAAATGAATTTTCCTGGAGTAAACAACAATTTTCCCATACTTACCAAGGGTTAATGAATCCATTTTAACATTCAAAGTTAGTCCCTGGTTTTTTTCTAAAAAGTTTGGTTTTTTGTTAAAATCTCTTAAGAGATTTTAACAAAGTATAGCCATCAATGGAGGTCACGTGGTCTAAAGACAAGCTCAGATATCAGAATAATAGCTATAACTGCCGTTTTTGTGGTAAAACAGAATATATTATATTTCTATGAGTTATTCACAATGTTTTTATTGTGAAATATAGATCTCATACGAAGAGTTATTATCCCTTTAATAGTAATAATAATAATAATAATAATAATAAACTCATTTCACAGGTAACAATATATATATATATTAAAGCATCATAATAATACCTCATTATATAGATTTTCCACAAAGATCGTAACCCACTTTCACTGCATTCTGACAAAATTGAATTTTCTTTGAGGCCACTTTAATATTGCATGAGAACTTATCAGACCATAAAATGATACCTGCTTCAAAGCATAAATCACTGCAATCATACTCATTATTAAAGGAATAAGAACAGAATCCCACCAAGAAAAAAAAAATCCCATTCTCTCAGATTTCTGTAAGCTGAGATGAACATATAAGGATCCTTTATCATCTTAGAGCATATGATAATTGTGACAAAGAAGTGCAGTATACCATTAGTTCTACCGTCACAATACAAACAAACCTCTAAATAACAGGAGATTGAATGAAACTGAATCCAGCTAGGACTGCAATAATGATGCAGCGTTTTCTTTTATCAGGTATATAATCATGTGACAAAGGTGCTAAAAAATTTCTCTAACATAGAAATAAATCACTGAAACTGAATGATGGAATAGGGGCATATTCAAGCATTCCTAATTGTGATTCTGAGTCAGAACTGAAAATAGCATATACAAATGTTCAAAATTGCTATTATAAAAACAACTTCTCCAAAGCTTTCACATTTGAAGAAATCAGAGAGGGAAACATGACTGGCATATAATGGACAGGGGACTGTGATTCACCTCTTGACTCAGAACAGAAAGTCAAGAAGTGGTTTGAGGGTAACCCATATCACTGTAGACCCCACTTAGCCCCCTACAAGCAGGAAGTAAATTTTCTCCTCTACAACTCTTCATGTGGGTATATGTTAACTTCATGTATAACACACCATACATATTGATAAAACAAAAATTATTATTATGTTTACGCAAGCAAATTTTAAAATCAATCTTTGTGATGCAAGTGCCCTCTTAGTCCAAGTTTCATTTATTTTTAGTTGGAGCTACATTTTTTTTTTTTTTTTGATAGCAGAACCGATAAAATTGAAAGCTATAATATTCATATATATTTAATTCATTTAATTTCATTCATCTCATTATTCATTATTCAATGTAATCTTCACAGATCAGATGTTTTTTGTTCCCAACATTGATCGCTGTCATGGTTCCTTTTCAAAAACTTTTTTGTTCATTGAGTGACAATAAAAAACATTTGATGTGTAGCACAAATACATAAAAGCATTTAAATAATATGTAAGATCTATATAATATATCCCAATTAGTACTGGTGAACTGAATTCCCCATTTATCATGTACACCAATTGTGATTATGGTCAAGGTACATAACATGTTACATTTGTGGTGTAAATGTTACTGAAGGACAACTACATGCGCAATATAGATTAATAATTTACCTAATGGCAAGGCAGTGACCTTTTCAAGTGGATAGTAAATATTTGTCTACCTTTACTAACTCACACTCAGATATGATAATGTACCTGGTCTCCCTTTTGGCCACGTTAAAGTTTCATACACAGTTTGAATTTTAATATTAATGTTTAAACATTATCAGGATAGCAGCAAAATGCCTGCAAGCTATGCTTTTGTGAATATTAAAAAGACAAATAAATACATATTTTGAAATACTGATTTCAAAAAGTCTCCCACAAAAAAAAAAAAAAAATAAATAAATAAATAAATACAATAAATCAATAAGACATTGCTAACATAACATTTGTATTAGATGAAATATAATTACATTCTTAGACACAACGTCCAGTGCTGAAAAATTAAACATGGAAATATAATTTTTTTTTTAAATGAGACTGACAATTTAGGGTTGCTTCACGAACTGAAGTTTTGCTCTGCCATTCAGAATGATACAAAAAAAAAAAAAAAAAAAAAAAAAAAATCGATCTGGTTAAGGTCAGACTTACCACTCCATCTGTAGCTCAGAGCCCGCATAGTAATACACACTACCCACATTGTAACCTCCTCGGTCATTATTCTGGGAGTCAAACATCCTGGAAAAAAACAGTGGTGTTTATAAAAGTAGAATTTATAACTTGTAATTATTAAACAAAAGTATTAAAACACATTTGAAAATATGCTTTTATTTAAAAAAAGTGCCATTGAAAAAAATACTGTTTGCTATCTTTTGCACTTACTCTCCCATTGTTAAAAACTTCTTGCTTTTACTAGACCTAAGTAAAATATATAACAAGTTATTGTCTGCTAACTTCATTAGAAATATATTTTCTTTCAAAAATGTATCAATTCAAAGAATTCGGTAATGCACAGAGGTATGACACACAAAGTTAGGACTCACCTATTTGCATTGTTCCTTGCACGTCCTCTTTCATCTAGTCTATTATTGGACCCTCTAAAAAAAAAAAATTTTAGTGGACCAATGTATGTGATAATACAACAAAAGCATAGAACAGTAAAGAAAATCAGTGAGATAGGGGGTACAGGGTAATCACTAATGTACTGTATGTGCAGGAGTAATTATTTTAAACCATATGCCCATTTTGTCCCACAACTTTTTTTCTTTATGAACAAGCTGCAAACTTTTTCAGGAAGGTATGCCAACCATGTTTTTCAAATACAAATAACGAGTAGGCATACCTTCTCATTTTGACTTTTATTTATTTTTATTTAGCACAATAATAACATTAGTAACACAGGGTTCTAGACCACAAAACCATTATCTTGTACCCCTTCCACATACTTGCACAAGTGATTTCACACTTATGTGTTTTATGTGCTCTCCCTCCCCTAGATTGTACATGTAGGCCTATATTGCCTCCCCCCCACCTTTGTCGGTACTGTACTGTAAGTTCTTATACTGAGGTCAGTGTGAGCCTGAGGTATACGTTAATGGACAAATCAGGCATATACTAGTGCGATACAGTACTAGTAACGTAAGCGTTCTTCTTATTAAATAATATAAACAACATCGCGCACTGTCTAGTAGTTGACAGCGTTGCTCCCATTTCGCTATTGAGTTTACCTTTTGTCGGTAAAATATTTCACTCACCTGGGATTATGAAAATATATGTCACCTTGAACAAGACCAACACAAAACACAAGAATTCCTAACAGCTTCATTTTCTCTGGAATGTATTGAAAACGATTAGAATCAGCGACCAGCGCGATTCTCAAAACCAGCAGTGAATATGAAATTCACAAGACAAGACTACCACATTAGTCATCCGATTTCTTGAGCAGGTGTCCGAATTACGACGCGTGACAATATAGTACAACTACACCTACCTTTCTTTAACTCCTATGGTGCTTTTTTTCTCAACTAAAATAATTTTGGATTTAAAAGATAGAAATTAAATCAAACTGAATGTTTCAGCAAAAAATTAGGAAAAACGCGTGTTTTTTAAAATGCGGATTGATATAAAGTTGACCTAATTTTCCAAATAAGGACAAGGAATCCCCTCTTGAAACTGACTCACACCTAAACATAGAAGCGCCATTAGGGAAGTAGAAGCAAGCGCACACAGATCTGTCCTGTTGACCAGGTAAATAACCACGTTTAAATTTAATTTAAAACATTTATTTTAACTGTTTTATATTGGAATATATTTCTAAAATATCGCACGTAATGGGTTTAAGAATTTCAAACACAGAGCGCCAAATGGATAGTGATGAACACCTTCAATTATGGAGTCTTGTCAAAGAGTAAATCTCAAAGATGTTCTTTGAGACTGTGGCATACAGTGACTCACCAGTTTGAGTGACAGTGACGCTGCAAAACTGTCTTTAAGTTGATGCTTTGATAGGGGCTTCTTATTTGATTTATAGATGTAATCATACAAGCTGTCTAGCAATTTTTTCTGATATGTACATCTCTGTGGCTTTGATTTCAGAACAAGCAGATGAAAACATTAATTCAGTAGGTCTGCTAGGGTAAGAGAGTCTGGACAATTGCTTAGCTCAGTATATTAATTATTATATTATTGGTTTAACATAGTACAGCATTTTTTGAAATCCTTTCATTTTATGCCATATTAATATGAAAAATTGATTAGCAGTACAGTAAGTGCATTAATTTAATACTTACGTATTTTTGTTTTATAGGAAATATGTTGAAACTCACATGCATACTGCTGGCAGTTGCATGCGCCACTGCGGACATTTACATGCACAACCCACGAGGCAGCAACAACAGACTAAATGAGCGGTCAGCCAATAGGCGAAATGCAAACAGGGCGTTTGATTCACAGGTAAATTCTAAGACATGCAGGTGGTCCTAACATAATAGTAAATATTACCACTTTAACATGAAGTTTATTTTTCTTGTTGATGCACTATTAGTTATACAAGACTGACAATGATTTTGGAAACATATATATCAGGCCCGTAGCCGGGGGGGGGTTCAGGGGGTTCGAAAGAACCGCCCCTTTTGTTGGTAAAAGGTCCACTCTGGTGAAAATTTGATCTAAGTACATGAAGTTTTCATGGAAAAAGGTCCACTTTTTCAAAAAAAAGAACCCCCCTTTTGAAATTGCTGGCTACGGGCCTGTATATTGAGATGGAAGTCATGAACGATATGCCCAGTGTTTACCATTTGGTACCAAGGGCAATTTATTTACCAAAACCAGTGAAAATTTTGCATATATCTAAGCTGTTCATGTGATAACTTGGACTTCTTTTAGGACGTTTGATAAAGGTAACTTTTGTAGGTGCTTGTGGTAAGTTTGGTTATAGCTGTAAACGTTATAACATCATTTTGGTTTGAATATGCCCCTTCCCCCCCCCAAAAAAAAAAATGAATAAAAAAATATGACATTGAAAAAGTCAGAGCAAACTGTTTGAAATAAAGAAGGAGCAGAAGTAGAATACTCAAACAAGGGAAATATGATCAGTTTGAATACTAAAAATTCAGTCAAGCTAGGCTTGTGAAAGGAACAGACAAAAGCATTATATACAGGCACAGTGTAGAGTTCTGGACAAGGTTTAATAAACCTTTTTATTCATGGCTTTCAGCTTATTATACTCTGTGAAAGGGGATGGACTCTTCTACCATCAATTTATAAAGAGCAAGTTATTTTTTCAGATTTAATTTTTCTAATAGAGTTGAGAATTTATATGGTTAAGTCTTCTTTGGGAAAAGGTTCAGGTGATTGGGTATTGAGGAGATTGGTACTTGCATCCTTGTAAAATAATGGTTTATCCATTCATACTAGTTAATTATTAATTTAAAGGTCGCAAAACCTTAACCAAGTGTTTAATTTAATGTGTATTATCTAAGCAGAGTTCCTGTATGTAAATATATATCAGAACACTTATGATTTAAGACAAATATCAAATGTCACCTGTCTCACCACATGCAAACATACAACAATGAAAAGGCAACATCTGTGTATTTGCCCTGAAAGAAAATGCTGAATTATAAATAAGATGTGCAACACATTGTGAAACATTAAACCACAACAGATCTCAAAAACAAAAGATCGGAGGTTGGTGTACGGAACATGCAAACACGTCAAACTTGAATGTGAGATACAACAGGCCCGTGTCTTTTGTTCTCCATGTCCCCTAAAGAATAAGTCCAATACACCAGTCAACAGTTAGGTGCATGTGACATATCCACTTGCGATTTGCACACACGTATATTTCATAAAGTCCTTCGTTTCGAGAGAAATCTCTTAGATATACAAGTTAAATTAGCTGTAAGGAATTGTTGCATTGTTACTGTAGTTGCACAAGGAAGCAATTGTTTGTTTATAGAAAATTGACAGCTTTTTATACAGTGTGATGGTATTGCTTTCTTTTTTTTCAGAACAATAACAGGGGAGGATATAATGTTGGAGATAAAGGCACAAGTGCTGCTACAACGGAAAATGAGCAATATAACATGGTATAAGTTGCATTTGGATATTTTTAAAATAAATTAAATTAGGTAAATTAGGCTTCAAAATTTTTTCACAGGAAGTAAACTTAGAAGGTGATACGAAATGCTTTTTTTTCATAAGGGGAAATGTTGTAGGAAGGAACACATGCTCCTTTTAAAAATAGTATCCAAGTGTGTAAGAAATCAGAAATTATATATTTATATAGTTTTATACTTGTTAAATATAAACAATCAGTACCTTTGACCTTTATCGTGTTTCAGAAATACTTCCAGAGCAGTTCAGCAAGTAATGGTCAGAGCTACTTGACCGTTGAGTGGACCAACCAGCATGGTTGTGGTGGTAACGAGGACACTGATCCCCACAAGGTTAACTGTAACATGGTGTTACAATACATGTGTCAGCCAGATGATGGTACAGCAAGTAAGTCTGAATAACAGTGGCAGTGAAATTAACAGATTTAATGATAGTTATATTATAGTTCTTTCTATTTTTCTATTTATATGATATATATGCAATTATTGGCAATATTTTTTTTTCATTTATTTTCCTTTTTTTTTTTTGCACACATATACACGCACACGCATGCACGCACACACACACACACACACACACACACACTGGAACGTCCTCTCTCTCAGGTTGTAAGACACCACCACCTTTTCACAAACCAATTATATGGCCAATTATCACAGTCACTCTCTCTGACTTCCTGCAATATGAGTCACCTGCAAGTCACCTGAAATCATTTATAACCCCTCCCCCTTACTTTAATTGTAGTGCAGATCAAAGATAAAAGTAAGACTGCATCATTATACATCCCTCAGTTGACTAACCTCTAAAATTAATGTAAGTTACCAACTGGGGATAATCCCAGGAAGTGGGGTACAAGGAGTTCAAATTAGTCTGTAATTTGGTCATTGATTTACAGGGAGAACCACCCAATTGAACCCAACCAACCCCCCCCTC